AGTATATGGAATTTAATGACGAGAAACACACATGTATGTTTGGGTTTTTTGTTGTTTTTTTTTTAAATTCTTGGGTGAAAAATACCTTCACCTCTGTCTCCAAAAAAGAGAAATTTTATGAGAGACTGGAAAACTATGTATTTAGATCTGAGATACATTTCTATAATACATTAAGAGATAATTTAAAAGAAGCCCCAAATCATTAATTACTAAAAAGTAATTACACAAATTCCAAAGGTCTATTTATGTGTGGTTTATTGGGATAAAGACAACTCTGTCATATTACAGGGTCCCATTAAAAATGTGGCTATAAAGTTATTTGGATTTTCAGATCTAATCCGTGACTTGTATCCTGCAGATGTGATTGCAGAGTGTGTGGAAACGGCAGAGTGGCAAATGGCAAAGTCAATGCAAATGATTTTTGTTCTATTTCCCCAGTCCTTCAAGATACACTGCTTACCAGATGCGCTGCCTCTTGGGCACAGGCTTCCTTGGGATTATGTCATGGAGGAAGAGCATGCAAAAAAAAAATATATTTTTAATAATCTTTGAGTCTTCAGGAATGGAATTTTCCAGTGTCCCAGCAGGAGCCCTGAACTGGCTCCTTTTTTCTCTCACATTGTGTGTGAAAAATAACTACTTGTGGGAAGCTCCGTGTACATCCGGATGTGTTTGTTGGACTTGGACAGAGTGATAGTCACAGTGCACGCTGGGGATTTCTTTAAGTGGGCAGGGAAATGGTCACTCCCGCGTTTTTGAAGTGTTTTGGTAGGAGCCAGCCACAGCAGGAGAGGCAACAGGAGCTCCACTCACAGCAGCGTTCCCCTCTGAGACCCACTCCCAGTAGGAGATATTGTCACAAGTGGTGTCACCACCTGATGAGGCCATTGGAACCAGTCAGATGCTGTCCAGAAGCACAGCCCTGCGTGTGTCACTGTAGGTATTAACATTCATTTCAACTGAAGTTTCTAAGCAGTCAGTGCCCTTATGTTGTGCAGGGAAACTGAGGTACTCAGTATAAAAATGAGATCATGCACACTGGATCTAAAGGGTATGTGAAAGTTTGGGTGGTTATTACTGGGTTTGGGGAGTTTATGTCCACAGTAATGTATTGCAGCATCGATAAAATCCTCAGCTGTATGTTCCTCAGTCTCTTGAATTTGAATCCTGCCATGTTGGACCCATTGCTCTTCAGTGTTCCTTGAGATTTACAGGGTGCAGCACTGACTCCGTCCTTGATTTCTTGGGCACAAGCTCTGTTATCTTTGCACAGAAATGGGACCTTGCATCTCCGTTGCCTGAGGTCCTCAGGACTGTTGTTGATACTGTAGACTCTTGAGCGAATTTCACAGCACAGTTTGCAGCATTCCAGCCGCATGAGTCCTCAGAATTAATAGTGCATCCATTCAGGGATGGCCAGTCATTCATACCTTATATACAGGCCATGGCATTGTATCAAACTGCAATTTCTTTATTCTTTAGTTAACAAAGGAAATGTGCAGGCTGAGGGGAAAATATTTATGAGTGCCATTTCCACGCCTTGGCTTCCTCTGTATTCCTGATTGTTCTCTTAATGCTGGAAAATCCTTAGTAAGCACTAAGCATTATGTGTCTTAAACTTTCTCTCTTTCTTTAGTTGAAAAGCAAATGAGTGAAAGTTCAGTGTTTTCACTGCCAAAAGCAGGTGATCTGTGAGTGTAACAGAGGTAAGAAAAAAGCCAAAAGGTTTCAGCTCCTGTCAATAATTATGTAGACAGCAAAATAATCACAGTGTGTTGTATGTGGCTGCTGTGCTGTAATCCTTCATATATCTTAGGCCAAGCAGGAGAGGAAGAGCATTTCTTACAAGAAATGCTGATAGGAACAATACAATAGAGTCAGAGAGCTCGTATTTGAGTCCAATGCTAAGCAATTAGAGCTGGGTAAATTACTTTATCATTTAGTGCCATAAATATAAACTTAAATTTTGAAGGAAGCTTGCTTAGGGACAGCGTGAGAATGGTCTTTTAGGATGCTAGTGGGAAGCAAATTCAGATTTGGGAAGTTTCTTACTAGTAATGAAACAACATGCAACTGCTGGCCATGATGTCCACTGGTTAGAGACATGAAAAACAAATCAGCTGAGTTGCAGACTGATTTTTATCTGTTGAAAGTATTAGGTAAATGGTTCTGAATTGCAGATTCAGTAAAATAGCAATCTGCTTGTAGACCACCCACTTGGAACAAAAGGAAGAATCTGTGCTGTCTAATAATCGTGGCCTGCGATGGGAGAGACAGGACTGGTGATTTCTAGCGGGCACTTGAGACAACCCACTCGCTGATGACCAGAGTTGCCCTCCTTCCCTCCCCAGCTGCATAAACAGTCTGGTTTTGCAGAGAAAGATTACAGAATCATGCCGGCAACTTTCTGGGCTGTATACTTAATAATAGTCAAAGCCAAATGTAAATAAAGTGTCTCAGAGGAGAGAAGCATGCTGCTCAAATTTGCTTCCTATTTATACCAGTTAAATGTGGATAAAATCCAGGTCATTGTTTTCTGTAATCTACTGCCCACCCAATCAGAGCTGGGAAAGGTTCTTCTGACAGGGACTTGTTTTTTAATATCAGCGTTCTGTTTAATGTCAGCTTCTCCAAATGACATCAACATTATCACGCAAAATTGATGGGATTACTTTTATAAGTTGCAAGTGGTGAATAGCAGAGGAATGCAGGAAAAACAAGCACAGTAATAAAAAATGAGTTTTTTCGAGTGGAGAAGCGTAAGTAAGTTTTCTCCATGGCTGATGTTTTGACTTCCATCCATTCTAGCTTATATACTACTCCTCAATGAAAACAGAAATTTAAAACTCCAAAGGGGCAAAGATAATAGATTTGTTGTAAATTGTGTGCCAGCTAGTAAATTGCTAAGATTTGCACTCACTTCCTATTGAAGTCAGAAAGGAAATGTCAGTGGAAGCAAGACTATTGAGTAATCAGCAACCAACTCCAAGTTGCTTGGATCTGAATTTGGTGAGAGTCTCTGTCCACCAGGAATGCTTTGCTACAAACCATTGTACATATGTCATCACCTTTTCTTGGTTGTCGTTCCCTCTTCCAGGAAAACTCTGCAGAGCTCGCAAGGGTGATAGTTGATGCGTTCTGGTAGTCCAGCGTACTGGTTTGTTGGTAATGATACTCTCGCAAGCCAACAATTGCTCCTGAAATTAAGCTCAATGGTGAAATGTGTTTAGAAGGGAGACAAGGAGTTCTTGGGATCAGAGTATGGAACGCTTTGCTTCCTTGAAAGTTATCTGGCTGCTAGATAGCAGTGCCAATGGCAATCGTTAGCTGTTCCAGTACTGTTTCCAATGAATGCACATTTGCATTATGCAGTCTGTTGGAATACAAGGCTTTAATTCGCTCCACAGTTTCTGTTGTTTCACTGTGTAGAAGCGAAGAATAAATGGACAGGGTGGCTGGACTTGATTTTATACTTAAGCTGAGGCTGAAGAGATGGAGTTGAATTTCTCTGATGCTGTGATTAGCATCCAGGTTTCCAAATCCAGTGAAATATTTTGAACTCTAAGCTGCGCTATATAAAGACTTAAAAAATGACTTTGTAGCACAAGGAAAGGAGGCATTTTAATTGTTCAAGTCTGTAATGTTCTCCTTAGTCTTAAAAGACAGAACTCTGTCTAAAGCTTACTAATTTGCTGAAAAGTGCTGTTTTCTAAGCTTTGGAATCTGGATGTCTTCTCCCTTCTCCTTTTTTTTCCTGTTGTTGTTATGGATGAAAGCAACTTTGAAAAAATTGGGTTTTTTTAAAGCCTGGATGACTAGCTTATAGTCTATATTCAGAGACTCTGCAGAGTGGATTACTTGACCTTGACTCTCAGTGGTCAGAGTTGCCTGTTCCCGATGAGAACAAACAACGCAATATAGTCTTGACCTCAGTAACGATGCCATAAACAGCCGTATAGGTTTCTACACTATCTGGATGAGATACTCCCTCTAAGCTGTTAAGAAGGTTTTCTGTTCTGTAATTGAAGATCAGATCCCTTGGACCTGGGAGGGAGTGGTGAGTTTGGAGAGTGTGTTTTAAAATATCAGTCTGTCTTTGAAGCTTGTTATGTTTATTTCTTGACCAGGTGCCTTATCAAGCCGAGCCTTTCTTATTTCAGGGAAAGGAGCGTTCTTGGCAAAATAGAGCACTGGCAGACTATGGGTCTTCTAATGAGAGGTCCCTGAAAGGAAGCAGGCTTAGAAGTTTGCTTTACAGAGGAAAATTCATCAAATATCTGTAGAAAAAGATGAATCACTGCTGCCTTCAAGTAAATGGCATTCTTACTGAAGGGATTTTCTACAGGAATATTTGTATATCTGACAACATTCGCACAGCCAGGGATTAGTAAGAAATTGTTCTGAAGCATCTTATGCATGTGAAATGGTCAAGACAATGTGACTTTGATATATCTGTATTGCCCAGACAAGGTGATGCAGTATGGAGATAGGAACATGTAGCACAGACCAAGGGAAAGGTGATTTTATGGATGAGATATTCATTGAATTCATCAAGGAATGTTGTTTAACACTTTCTGTGCTGCTAGGCCTATCCATACCAAATTCAAATTGTGTTTTCTGTTGCTTTTTCAAGGTATGTGCCTTCCTGTTGACATAAACTTCTCATGGCCATTCTAGTTGATGTTCTAATACCATTACAGTACTTGTTCATGCCTGCTGTTTCTGCCTCGATCTGTTTATGGCTTGCCCATGAACTGAGCCATAGACAAGTGGAAAAGTTAGGAAAAAGGTGGGTAGGCAGTTGGGCCAGCCAGGACAGCAGGCTTTCCAGCTGTTGAATGAGATCAGGTTCTGCAAAGAGCTTGGGTTCAGCATAAGGATCCTCCTGCAGAGTTGTCTGCAGCTGTCAGCGTGAATGTCGTGCTACTTACAGTGCCACTTCTTCCTTGCTCTTCGCCTAGGAATACTCCATTTATTTTGTTTTTACAGTCGCTCGGATCAATGGCCATCCGAAACTGGACAGACACCGTGAGCACCCTCCTGGTTATGACAGTTCTTCTACCATGATGAGTAGTGAGCTGGAATCCAGCAGCTTCATTGACTCTGATGATGATGACAACACAAGCAGGTAGGGCATTGGCATAGTGCTCTTAAATACTGTTTGCATCTGTTTCCCAGCCACTTGACTGTATTTCTGGGCTTTCCTGAAACATGCTGACTGGCAAGATGAGAAGATTTATATCTTCTCTTTCCTTTTTTTTTTTCCTCCCTCCTTTTTTTTTTTTAATTTTTCCTTTATTTTCTTTTTTTCTGCTACGTATGATTTGAGCACTAATAATTCATCAGTAACATCATGTTGTATATAATCACTGCTCTGAGAAACAAGCTAAGTTTTTGGGGTCGCTATCCAAGCTGCCTGTAGCCACTGTTCCAATTAAGAGAAAAATTCTGTTCCTGTTCTTTCCTTTTAATAGCAAGAATGATCAAAACAATGCGCAACTTTACCTATTTATAAAGCAAAGGTGTGAATATTGTAACAAAATACCTTCAGCATAGATGCCTAATAAGTATGCACTTCACTAAATCTGAATTGTAAAGGAATTCCTGTGTAATTGCATAGTCTGAGACATATGAGCAGTACAGGAATTCATCAAAATTAATGCTATTGCAAAGGCAGGCTGTGATGCCATATATTTATGACAATTATTTTTTTCCTTTTGTGCAGACAGAATGTGAATTATTACTTGCTTGTTGCAAAAAAGCTCCATTTCAAGACATCCTTGTTAATCTCTGAAGATACTTTTGTTGTTCCATAAAAGGTTTATAAGACAATACATTTCTCAGATTCAAAATACCTACTTTTAAAGATGTAAAATCAATCAAAATATTCTTCCCTTTCCTGACTGCAGTGACATCATTCTCTGAACACTGTGTCTAGAGCTGTTGTTCATCCAAATGAACTATGAAAACCCGTTACAGATTTCTGTTATTTGTTGGAGAACAACAAGATTACAGATCTCTGGTGGTTCATAGAGATCTGTAGCTAAAATAAATAAGGTGCAATTCTAGGTAGAATGGAAACAGCAAAGAACAACTAGTCCTGGAGATACTTAAACATTTGCTGTGTTTACGAATGGATTATTGGCTTATTGAACTCAGTGGATCTGTTTGGTCTTGCAATTAGTCGTAGCTTAAAAACCTGTTGAGGAACAGCAGTTCCTTCAAATTCTGTTTAAAGGCTGTATGTTTCCAAACGGTTGAAAGGGTAACTAAGTGAACATCTAAGATTTGGTCCTGATTTAGATTTAAGAACTTATTTTGCAGTTACAGTGATGTTGCCAACACCTGAAGATACAGAAAATTAGCCTTCTGGATGCTTTGTACTTCACCTGGATATTCATATGCTTAAAGGGTTGGCAAGATCAGTAATTAACCTGCCCGTACGCTAAGCCTTCCTAAAGCCTTTAGGGCTTCTAACCCTCCTTCCCTACCTGAAAAATCGAGCCCACAAAAACAACAACAACAACCCTGCAACTGATTTTGTTTCTTGTAAATAAATTAATCATTTCCATGGCAGCAAGATATGCAGTAGAGCAGGATTAGCACAGTCAGGGTGGCCACTGAAGCACATTATACTAGACCCAGCTAAATCTTTCTATATTAATAAAGTAAAGCTTCCTGCGTCTGACCTGAGAAGAAAGGGACTCTTCGAAGCTGCTGCGCAGGGCTTTTCCTGTCTAGGCTAGGGCAGAAGCTTTTGGCACACTGAATAGCTGCCAGGCCAGCTAGTCAGGAAGAACAACCAAATGGAATGCTCCAAGGTATGCTGTTGTGTTACTGTGATGATGTTCTCAAGCAGATGAGAGATTGTGCTGGCAGGGAGAAGTTTTCTTTAGAGGCAAATAGAGCCAAACAGAAAATCGAGCATGCTCCAGATCCGCTGCAGACAGCGGCCTGGGGAGAAAGAGGTTGAAGGGGGTAAGTTTGTTTAATAACAGCTGATGAACTCTGGTGTCAGAATCTGCATTGTAAAGGAGATTGTATGCGGAGGAGATCACTGAGAGAAGAAATCAGATGTAAAGGATCTTACTGTCTTGGAAGTGAAGAGGTTGTAAGGTTGAGGATGCTTTTCTAACAGTGTGTGTTTGACATTGGTTTATTTTATTTTTCACTTGGAGCAGCACAGCAGAGTTGGTTAATTTCCGAGGAAGTTTTATTGCATTCAGCTAGAGAGAAAGTCTTTTTTTTGTTTCAGTGAATTAATCTGTTCACAAATATTACAGGACAATACAGAACCCTTCAAGTAGTGTGAGTACAATAATTTATTTCCTTTCTTTTCAAAGTATGATAGCATGGAACGTTAGTGTTATTTGCAGGTAGTAGGTGGTATTTTGTGTACAGATTGATGTAGGGAGCTCATGGCAGGCTTTACAGTAAAAGTCTTACTTCTGTCTTCTGTTGCACAAATAAAGGTCTAGCAGATATGACATCTGTAGCTGTAGGATTATTGTCAGCAATTTGCAGTTAGTATTCTGAATTCAATGTATCTAAAAAAATTCACTGCAAAAAATTGATTACATTTATTTCTTATTTAAGAAATTAACATTAGTTCTTTTCAGACTATGTGGATAAACTTTCTTAATCCAAATTATTACCTTTTTTCCTTCCTTTGGGAAATGTAGATTGGACAAATTATTATTATTCTTTTTAAAAATATCTGCTGTGGGATTCATTAGACTTTCTGTTAGAAGTGCAGCCAGGGTTTTGGCCAGTAGTTAGTGTGGGAAATTGGTAGTTATGATTCCAGATTTGTTTTTCATCTTTGCACTCTATTTTTCCCAAAAGCTCAAATCTTGTTTTGTTCATCAAATTGTAATACTAACTTTTACTCATTTCTGGGGATACTTCAGAGATCAAAATATTACCCCCTCATTGGAATACGTTTGAGCTTCTATTTAGCATCCAGATACTCCTAGAATATGAGATATGCAGTGTTTGTGAATGATTCACCAAGGATACATTAAGGCTATGGATTTAAAAGAAATAACAAAAGGAGATGAAGAAATGTACCACAGCTACATGAAAACAGATACAGGCTTGACTCCTGTTTAAGAAATTGCAGAGACTGTGAAACCTGCTTTCACACGGTGTGGGAGTCTCGCTGAAACAAGCTGTCTTGCCTTCTACTTACACATCGGCTGATTAAGGCAACTCAAGTCATTGTCCAGCTTCCCCCAGAAGGGATAAAAACTGGAGTTGAGTGAGGTCTCCACTTACGGTATCTTCAGTGTAATAAGTAACACTTTCGAATGTTTATCTGTATAGAAGCCGATGTATAAGCACACAAAAATGTTTCTGCAGTGCCTTCTGATCATCAGTTTTGTGCAACTAATGTGAGAGGCTAAAACAGCTCAAAGTAGTTACTTCTCTGAAATATTGTCTGTCCTCTTGAACTAAATGTGAACTGTGGCTTTTCTACGGAACTTAGTTCCATTCTTCCAGTCTAATGTTGAGTAGAATCAAAAAAATACCACAGAATAGAACAACTTCACTTCTTGCGTATTATCATCTGGTAACAGAAGTTGAGATTTGCCAGTAAACTCTGGTTTTGCTGCTTTAATTTAAAAGAAAAATCCAAAATGTTCACTGCTTACAGAGGAATCAACCCTTTTGGTCATGTATTGAAATTGAATGAATTTTCCAAAGTTGTCTCACCCCCAAGTTGCCAAAGTAAATACGGAGGGCGAAAGTGAAGAAGGAACAAGATGCTGATGTTATCGTAAGCTAATTGTTCACACCTTCATCACCTCTGTGTTCTGTCTGCTTTTCTGCAGTGTGCTTAGACTTGTCTTCTTTTTTTCCAGTCCATCTTTTTGGACTCATCCGTGATATATCTTTCTAAAGATAGGAATGAAAGTAGTTTTGTGTTCTCTACTTGGTGGTAGATTAAAATATCCCTTTTAAGGACTCGGAGTCAGAGAGCGATTCTGTTTTGTAGTGATACTCGGTGCTGGCAAAAGGTATTTTTGTCCAGTCCAATTTTAGATCAACCTAAAGCTGGAAATAATCGTTCTTTGGTTTTCTCAGCAACACCATATTGATGTGCAGTAGAGCTGGAGGAAGAAATTGGCATAACCAATCAACCTTGGCAGGCAGCAGATCTTACGCGCTGTCTGTAATCAGGAAAAATATTGACAGAGGAAGTATACTAACATACATTAGAGGGTACTTTTAAGTTGCTTACATCTTAGGATGTAAAGTGCCATGAAATAGCACCAGATTACTGCTTGAGACAGAATCAGTGAACTGTGTGCTGAAACTCTGCTGTTCCTGTCCCTCCTTTCCATAACTTGCTATCCAGATAAAATGCCCGTTGTCTGGAAAGTAGAGGAAGAACTTTTCTACTGGGTGAATTCCCATTGTGATCTCCTGCTGCAGGCAGGTGTGGCTTTCAGTATAGTTTTTCTCTCCGTTTTCTTTCTCTATGAACATTGCTAAATTAAAATTGCTTTTTACAGTAGGCAATGTTAGCTGGAGAAATTACCCCTGTCAGGGACATAGCAATGGGAAACTGAACAAATGAAATGAGGAGTGAATTTAATGAATTCTCTTTATCCACAGTAACCATTAGAGGATGCCATTCCAAAAAAACTGGTGACAGGAAGTGCTGCATACTCCTTGAGTGATGCACACTGGGATAAAGCCATGAAATATGATACGGCAGTAGGTGAAATATGTGTGTAAACAATGAAAATCAATTGCCTGGATGCTGTGAGTGACTTTGAAGTGTGATTATAGTAGCCAAAAGGACAGATAAAATGTTAAGGTTTTGTCCTTTCTGTTATGGACTAGCTCAGCTGTCTTCAAAACCAGTGGAAAGTCTTGCCTTGTCATGCGAGGGAGCAGGGTTTTCACTCCCCTGGGTTCTGTCTGCCACAGGGACTAGGGCCTGTGAGCAGAGGGTTTGTTTGCAGATTGGAGCGCTGAATTCACACTCTGATCAGTGGAAGAAGGGCGCTCACAGCCTTTGAAGGTATCTTGTTGCTTGACTTGTGTTCATGCAGAAAAGCTCCCCCATTCTTTTGCCTCTTTTCTTTCTGCTGCCCTTTGCAAAGAGCGGGCAGGTTCACTGTGATGTGAGCAACGTCCCTTGCCTTTTCTTCAAATTCTCCTAAACTGTTGTGTGCTGGAAAGTTTTAGCTGAATCCTACTAATGAGATGTTTCGGGAGAGAAGAGGAGGAGAATGAAATCGGAGAGGAAATAGGACGCGGGAGAATATTGGTAGTAAAATATAAGAGGAGGTTTTTGTGTCAATCTTTGCCAGTACTTCCAAAAAGAGTGGTGAATGTTGAACAAGTCCAATTTTGGGAGACGTGCATCTGAGACACCTCTTTATTTTTCCTGTTGCAAAGGTAAAGCCTCAGAAAACCAGGTGCTGTGAGCTGTTTCCACAGACCAAGAATTATCATATTTTTGATCTCTTCTGAAAACACCACCTCTTGGCTCTTTAAATTAATTTGCCTTGCTGGGAGGGGAGAAAGGAGTGCGTGAGGTTAACATGCCTGAAATAGTTTTGTGAACTCAAAGAGAATGTCAGGAGATTCACATCCTCTGAGCAGTTCCATCATCTGTAATATTCAGCTCAGTATGCTTGACTAAAACACGCGGACTTTATGCAAGATGGGTTTCCAGTGTGGTGGGTTGTAATCTAATGACAGCAAGCTCCTTTTTGAGGTTGCTGGTACCAAGTTTTGCTTGATGTATTCTAGCATTCCTGCACGCATCTGGAACTTTGAAGATGGGGATGTGGAGACTGGGGAAGACGACTGGCACTGTTTTCTTTGTGACAGTGCCAGTTCTATTAAATGTGTTGTATAGGGTTGGATTTTTTAAACCTTGGTTAATGATGAAGCATTGCTTTGTCTTTTTTGCCATTCTTAACATAATAAATAGAGGAGAGATGGTGCTACACTGGTATCTCTGAAATCTAGGCTTTGTTTGTCTCCTGAAATTAATTTGGGCAAATCCATTTATCTCTTTCTGTGTTCCAGTCCAATATCTGTAAAATGAGAGTAATTAACTTTCCTAACTCTTAAGGGGATCTTAAGGTTTTTTATGTAGAATGTGGCACATTTAGGCACATTCTACAAGTTTGAAGAGCCTGAAAAAAACCCACAGCAAAATAAACCTAACAGAATGTGTAAAGGTAAATCATATACACTATTCCTCTCACTATTTGGTAGTAGCTGTTATCAATTGCTACTTTATTTCATTGACTTTAAGCCTCAACGTTAAGTTCCTGTTAACAGGGTAGACAGCAGCAGAAGAAAGTAACAGCACCATGACAAGACTCACAGAAATTAATATGAAGACATTCTCCAGGTTGTCTGTCCTCTCAGAGCAGAGATTAAACTCTATTTAATGTACAGCTGTTCTTATAGTGTGTATTTTGCTTTGATGGGCCTGGACCCAGGACCACCTTTAAAGTAGTGCAGGATGGCTACCTCTGACCTTTGGGTGGTTAAATCAGGGGGATCTAAGTCTGAGATGTGGGTTGCATTCAGTCTTGCTCCCAAAAGAAAGCAAGCTAGTAAATTATACTCTTTAATCCATGCTGTGGTTTGGCAGGTGTCTTCTCTGTGCTCCTAGATACAGCACACACCGGGATCGAGCAGCAGTTCAGCAACAGAGCAATACGTTGTGAGCTAGCTGATGGTGTCTGTGGGATTTACTCTCTCCTGCATTTGTAGGAATCAGCCTTTTTTTTTGGCAGGGTGCAGAGAAATGCAAATGGCTCAGCTTTACAGAGTTGACATTTGCTCTCAATTTCCCTCAGGTTGAGTAGCTCCACTGAGCAAAGTACTTCATCCCGGCTCATACGGAAGCATAAACGCAGGAGGAGGAAACAAAGGATGCGGCAGATTGACAGGGTAAGGTTGGCATCATAATTTTCCAAGGAGGTGAGCCATGATTTTGAGTGTAGCATGTGAATTAGGAAAGGATCCAGAACAGATCTGTGCTTGATGAACCCTTTGGAAAGGCTCCCTTTGGCTCCGATCTACCCTGGACTAAACCTCTAACGTTTGAAGTTCTGGAGCACTAGCGTCAAGACTCGTTTTCTCCTCTCCCTTTCTCCTTTTACTGTTAAGTGATTGCATTTCTTGTTGTCTCTTTTAAGACCAGTCTCTGCAGGAGAACCTCCATTATGATACTGGCTGATGTGGGCAACGGGTGTCTGTGGTGTTAGACATCTGATGTATAAATTGCTGACACTTGCATTCTGCTGAAAGGAGAAACCTGCCTTTATAGAAGATCTCAAATCTTTTCGCTTGCCCTTTTCTGTGCTAGTCGTATGGTAGCAGAATGAGGATGGTCCAAATGACATACTTTTTGAAGTAACTGTTTTGTTGTCCTATAAGTATCAGTCTTCACAGATTAAAGAATGAGTATGCCTACATTTTGTCACAAGAACTGGAGTAATGTTTTAGAAGATAATTTGATAAGCACGTTTGTATTTCATTTTGGAGGGGAGGGGAGTGTCTGCCTTCTCACTTCCTGAAGGATCATGTGCTGTTCACCTCTCATTTTAGGGAGGAGCCGTGGATGTAATAATTCACACGATGCTGGGCACTTTAGTATGTAAATGTCAGCCTGTCAGTCATGTAGTCAGGCAGCAAAAATACTTGCTCTGTGTCTTTTGTAAACAAATCTTTGGAGAAAGTGCCGGTTGTGTTCAGATTTTTTTTCTTTACAGATTCTAAAAGAAGGAATAATTTTGAGGAGGCCACAATGGTTTCTGGGTGCCTTCCAAATGGAAACCTGTTCATCAGTACCCAGTGAATTAATCCTCAATAGTTATTTTTGTTGTCTTATTCTGAGCCATTTAAAACCTTGAGAATTTTCTGTTGTATTTTGCAGTCGTCTTCGTTCAGCAGCATCACTGATTCTACCATGTCCCTAAATATCATCACTGTCACACTCAACATGGGTAAGAGAATAAGCAATGTTTTTTATGATGAATTTCAAGTGATACAGATGTATTTTGTCATGCTGTAGTAGGTTTGAAAGGATGCCAATTGAACTACAGGGAATGGCAGCCAAGAGTTGCTACTCTGACTGTGCCTGGATTCCTAGTCCAGTACTGGATGGTTCTGAGCCATTTGCACAAGCAGATCGGTATTCTTCCCAAGAAGCCCAGGAAAGGAGCTGGAACTCTAGGATATGGAGTTCTGCTTGTATTTCTAGGAATGATAAGGGGTCAGACATTGTAGGAGTGAGAGTAGAAGGGCACTGGAGGTTTGCATATCAGCTGCTCATGCGTTTCATTGTTTAGCCAGATAGAAATGTACAGGACTGCCAATTCAGCACCTTTCAGTAGCACCAAATTCTTCCTGTCACTCTGACATGTGGAAAAAATTGCCTAATGCTGGTTGGGTGCCTAATTTCTAGGTGTAGACGTGTCTTTTCAATGTTGTTTCTCATGCTGATTTTTTGAATGCAACTTTTCAGTGTCCTGTATGAAAAAATAATGTCTTGAGCAGCGTTTCCCTGCTGCCTTTCCCTGAGCGTGCCAGGCAGCCGTATGCCAGTAGGTTAACCTGAGATAATTGTAAGTCAAACATGGCCCAGCTGATGTGTTGAGAGAACTGATTTTTCAAGACTGAAGTAGCCTGGTGTTAGCTCTTCACTATCATTCCAATCACCTTGTTTGCTTTTTTCCCCCCTACCCTCCACTTTCTATCTGTATAGAAAAGTATAACTTCCTGGGAATCAGCATTGTAGGACAGAGCAATGACCGGGGTGATGGTGGCATATACATTGGCTCTATTATGAAAGGAGGGGCTGTGGCAGCAGATGGCCGAATTGAACCAGGAGACATGCTTCTGCAGGTTGGTCTGTGTCCAAAAATACATGCTGCTGGCTTATACCTTGGTGGCTCAGCTCATTCGTCCCACCAGATCTTAGTAATCAGTTAAGAGAATTCATTCATACTCAGCGAATTGTGTCATAAAGACTGTTAATGCTAAAATCTGTAATTCTTTGTGAACTCTGCTGGATAGTTAATGTGCTCTGAGAAACAGTATTTTTGCAGCTACCCAAAGGAATGGAAACAGTTACAAGGCAAATAAATCTGGAAACAAATAATTAAAATGTCTTTAACTTTCCTGTTGCGAAGCCTGACCTCTGCTTTTTGGAACATTTCAGGTGAATGATGTCAATTTTGAGAACATGAGCAATGATGATGCAGTACGGGTTTTACGGGAAATAGTCTCCAAACCAGGGTGAGCATATTACAAAATCTCTTGCTACTTATCCTCCATATGCAATTATTGGTAATGGGTAAACCTCAGAGAGATCAACATTTTGATCTCAGTAAGCAACCAGCATGACTGCTGATCTCAACTCTGAACTTCTCGGTGTAAATGATGAATAGGTGAGAGTTGTTCCAATGTACCAGCCAAAACCAACACAGACTAGGAGTTGCCTCATTTCAGTAGCACTATTTGTTTTAGGATTAACGTTTTAATATCTCAAGAGCTGATCATTTGACAGATTTCACCAACAGTGCTCATGATCTGTGCAAAACCAGAAACATCCTGATTACTGGTTCACACTGAAAATACTTTGACAAGCATCTCAAAAGCATTCTCAGAATGTACTTGACAACTGTTGGATAGGAATAAGTTTGTTTCAAAGAGTTCATTGTAGCAGTTACTACTTCTGTAGGGAATAGTCACCCTTACCTGTTTTTTTTCTTCCTAGACCTATCAGCTTAACAGTAGCCAAATGCTGGGACCCTACTCCCAGGAGTTATTTCACCATCCCCAGGGGTGAGTACATATTTCAGCTCTTTGCTGGGTTCCTGTGGAGCCCTCAAGGTCTAGAATATTTTTAGCTATTTTGGCATCTAACAGATTTCCTTTCCCTATAAATTTGATATTTTTTAAGCTTGGTTGTGGTGTTTGTTTGCTTTTTGTTTTGGGAGGCAGGGGTTTAAGAAACTCTGAGACTCCAATGCCCACTGAATTCATGGGTGTTTTTCTTTTGATTCACATGGTTTGGATCAAGCTCTTAACCTTTTGGTGGGTATATCCTCATGATCTTAACCTCTTAATTGACAGAAAGTTTGGAGGATAACTGCACGTAAGTGTTTAAAAGCCTCATTTTGTCACATGTACACGTCTTAGAATTTAAACTGAGTATTTTTAAAATTTGAGGCAAGCAACGTTGTTTAATATACTTAAAACCTCTTGAAAATTACCTGGTTTTAAAACTTCTGGCTTAATAAGCCTTTCAGTAGCTCATGTGACAAACACAGCTGCCTCCTACTGGTGAGTGCTCTGCTTATGATACTGAAACCAGCTTGTTACCAGTCCTGAGAAGATGAGGATAGCATTGTCCATTGAAATTAATACAATAGACTCGTGCAAACTATAGGAGCTCACTCAGCGAAGTCCTTAGGAAAACCAGCATAATCAAAAGAAAAATTCCACAAATCCACGTATTTCAGATTTGCTACAGGGAGAGCTTGTGTATCAGTTTGTCCTTTCTTCAGCGAAGATGTATCCGTTATTATCCATGGCAAACAGCAGTGTATCTGTTGCAGGCCAAACTGATTGCAGTAATGTGTGGGATATTTTGAGGAAATACCTAATGCAGGCAGAGCTCTTTTACGTAATTTCTGGTTTTAAGAATCATCTTTCAAAGCAATGGAACAATAACCAACTATAAGTCAGATTATGGAAAAAAAAATAATTTTATTGCCAGCATTAAAAACTGCTTGTTACGTGGCTCCTTTTAAGCTCTGAGTGTAATTTTCACTTGTCTCTGATACCAGTCTCTTCAAATGGTCTCTATATGTCTTGTAAGTTTATTTTGCAGGACTATTCCAGTCCTAAAAAGTTTAATTATGGCTGCTGAAAACACTGAGAGGGGAATTCCATGATGCCTCATCTCTGCAAATACAGAGCTCCAGAGTTACTGTTCTGATTCACCTTCAGCAGAAGATTCACCTTCTGTCTGAGTGGTTGTTTTGGGTTTGAGACCCTTAGAAGTAGGGAGAGGTCCTCCGATCCGCTGC